AGGGTTTAGTTTTGAGTGTTTAGGGGTTTTTAGGTGTCAAAACATTTTTTAGGGTTTAGAATTTTAATATATAGGCTTTACAAATCTATAATTAGTGGCATTTTTGTAAATGGACACCCCAAAGTGGTATTCTTGCAAATGTGCACACAAAAAGTTGCATTTTTGTACGATCAATAAAACAATTATTCATTGAAATCGAAAAACAAGTGTTCATGGATAATTGTTTTTCTCTCGCTTTATCAAATGATCATCAACGAAACTATTTTCATTGACATCGAGAAACAAAGTTCATGAAGAATTTGTTTTTCTTTCTCTCTATCACATCATCTTTTTGGAATGTTCTTTTCTTAGATCCATTGATTTGGTTGTGGTTTCTAGGCATATCGACTTCGAGATGTATGAATCAAAAAGCTTTTTGTTCCCCTCAGACAGCATCAAATTCTGAGTGCAAAAATGGGTTACGACTTCGATTCACAATAGAATAAAATTAGGATCAAAGCTTTCCGAATGAAACACCAAATCAAAATGAAAGAATAAATAAACAAAAGCGAAGAAAGATGAATCATATTTTATTGATTGTACACAAGAAAATCGTGTAGAAGGAAGAACAATGATTTTTTCTAGTGTAAGTCCTTTTGTCGTGGAATAGTCCCGCTTCTTCTTTTTTTTTATGTGCAACACTTTGTTTCCATTAATTTAAATTTCGGGGTTACATCGATTCATATCACAATACAAAAAACTAATAAAAATCAAAGCAAAAAAATATCATAATTATACGACAATGAATCAAAGAAAACTTCTCGATGTGGTGGTATAAAACTCACGGCTAAGCCGAAAAGCGGAAATTTGGTCACTTTGAACAGTGACGTTGAAAGACTACCCATACCTCTGAGTTTCGTCAAGACGAAACCGGTTGCATCTTCATGCCCCATAAAGACCGCTACGCAATAATACAAATTGGTTAGGGAAACGTTCGGTTTTGACTCCAAGAAGAATCTTACTCTCAATGAGAGAAGAAATGATGGAATGGTACTCTTTCCATACAGAAAAGCTATCGAGCTCAACAACGAATATGAGTTTCAAGGTGCAAAGGTAAGGGTCATACTCTATTAAGAGTAGATTAATAGCCAAGAATGGCCAAAAAAAGACAAGTATACCAACTAAACTGGGCCAACTTGGTGAAGGAATCCGGCAGGCTGGAGAATGTGTCGTCGCGGAGCACTTTGACTGCGAGAAAGATTGTAGTTACAGATCCCAAACCCGTTTTCTTAAGAGTATGCTTGTGAGATCTCAGTGAATGAACTTTCTTTGTAATTGCTGGTGGAAGATGAGGGAGCAGCCGAGGGTAATGAGCAAATACAAACACGGTAAGAGAAGGAGAATCTGGCGGGTCTAGAGGATTCGGTTCCGGTGGCGAGCTTAGGTTATGACAGCCTCCATTCACGTGTTGTAGATCTGCTGAAGACTTCGTCGGTGGCTGGACTGATCGACGGACGGTGAAGGAAAAAATTCCAACAAACTCGTCGGAATCCATGGAGATTGACGGAAGATTAACATATTACCAAGGCAGTGCCGAAAGTTTCTCACCGACGACAGCCGGCGAAAGATGAAAAAGGAACTGTCGAGCTTGGACTCGAGAACGGTGGAAGCAAACCTGCTTACAAGGAGGAGAGGTCGGAGCTGAATCGCATGTGGATGGTCTTCATCTTCAAGGAGTGCGGTTGCCTCGAAGTTTGTGTCAGAGAGGATCCCGCTTCTTCTCTTTTATAATCTTCATCCTCTTTAGCCATTTATTTCATAATTAATTCACAAATTAATTCCAAGATTTGACCACCACCATTACTTCATGAATTGAAATATCACAAATTAATGTCAAGAATTGACCGTTTTGACTTGGTCATTTGAATATCTATGGACTTTGTGTGATGATGGGCTTTCGATGGAATGGACCGGATTCGTAGTGCTAGATATGATACCAACAATGAGATGGCAATGAGGAGAGCTTAATTTAATCCGTTTAGATGAGTTTTGAACTCATCGATGAAATAAAGACGAATTTAAAACAAATAACTTAGTGTCAAAATATGACTTTTGGATTTGGAGACATAACAAGAGTGGAGAATATTCCAAAACATCAGTTTCTACAAGAAAATAAGTAAATCGAATAAGAACCAAACAAATTTAGTTTCATTTTTTCTAAACATACCGTATCCAAAACAGAACGTTAAAAAAACTTAACTATGTAAAAACCTCAACTTATTTGAAAATGCTTAAAATTGTTGGGATATCATTCCAAGTTCACATCAGAATATTAGATAAAAACTGTTTAATACAGTATGTTAAACTTCAAATATAGTATGAATCTTCTAGGAAAAAGTCCATAAACAAATTATCTGTGTGGCCTTGGTTATTTATCACACTAATGCGTGAGGTTTGATATAGGTTTGCAGAGCCCAACATAAACCAAAATGTAATTGTGTGACAAAAAAGAAGAAGACAAAATGCATTTGTTAAAAAGCTGAATCCAAACGGAAACCTTATTTAGTTGAACCATATGATACTCAAGTTTGATATCTTTTAGTTATATATCTTCATAAACAAAAAAGTAAAGTTAAACAACCGAAATAAAACCCATAAACAGATTAGACATAACTCTCCTTATAAGTAAGGGAGTTACAATCTAAATAGCTACATGTCTTATTTATTGGTAAAATAGATGTTGTTGGTTATGGAGTTTGATAATAAAAGTTAATATCCCTTGGGACAGCAGGAATCTTTAATAAGGCTGTTCTTACGTCTACTCCACAATTGACTATTCCATTATTTCCACATTCACCAACAACACTCATCATATACACACAAGTCTGAAAATAGTGAAGACAAAATTAGCTAAGTCAAACGAGTTTGATGGGTCCGGACTTTTAGTTTTGAAAAAGTCTCTTAAGTAAAATTAATTTATTTTTTTCAAACTTCTTTTTTTTTACCAAATTTGAATCTTAAAATTTTCCAGCCAATGGTGGATCTACAAATTTAGGCCATAGCCTAGAAATTTGGTTCTCATATAAGAAGGGTTGATTATGAATATTGTCTAATGAAAACTTAACTAAAAACAACTCTATAAGTAGTATTGTCTTTTCTTACCCTTTTGTCTTTTTTTGGTTTTTTTTAACCCTAAACCCGAATCCCTTTTGTCTTTTTTTTTGTTGTTTTGGAATTTGTAAACCCAACTTTATTTTAAAATCCCAAAAAAAAAAAATTGAAATCAACTCACCAATTAAGTTTGCGATGCAAGAAACACATGAGCGCATAAATATGATGATGTTGTAAACTATATAATAATAAAGTGAAATTTTATAACATGTGTTTGTATTAAGGAGAGTAATAATTAGCTAAGAAGATGGACGAGAGGAAGAGAGAGTTATGAGAGAGAGACAAGCATGTAAGTGTGTGTATATCAACGCGAGAGAAAAAAGTTCTTCTTCATCTATTAACTTTTCACTTCTACAAATATATATAGAAAAGAAAAGGTCGGTTCACTTCTTTCTTAAGGACGAAGTAATTATTAAACAAATGGTAAATGGATAAACATTATCCATATGGATAATTATCCTTTTATAACA